ATTAAATTCGGACTTTTAATTTAACCGCCGCGGGATTGCTTGCTCGATCGAAATTACGCTTTTCGTTTCGCGAATTGCGAAAGGTATTCGGGTCAGACGAAATTCGCGCGAAATTGTTTATTTAATTTTATTTGCTCGACGACGGCTCGGTGTTTCCAGCGATAGGCGTTGATCGGCGTCGATCATCGATATATCCAGACATCGCGTAATTCCGTTTAAGAAGAAAAAAGGTTATAAAAACGTTTGATAAGCTGAAACGATCAAAGATATCGATACGCGATACCGACGAAGAAAGAGAGAGACAGAGAGGGGGGGGGGGGGGGGGGGGGGCGGGGGGGGGGGGGATGTCGCGCTTGCGCGATAGATCGTCGTACATCGAAGCGATGGACGATGAGTCACCGACGTGACTGCGGGTTCATTCAAAAGTCGTAGCTCGTCTCGCACACCGGAATGATGGTGTACGATCGGTGTCCATTCGGGTCAAGCAATGCAAAACCTCTCTCCCTTTTCTCTGCTGTTCTGTGCCAGTCCGTGGTGTTGCACAACTGCGCATACGTGAACGCGTATGCCAACACAGCCGATATCGATCTCGAAATTATGCATTCACCGAACGACGTTACCTACGCGCAGCCTCGTCGCTCGGCGATTTTCCGCTTCGAAACGGCGAATTAAAACGCGAAACGCCACTATTTCTCGTCCCATTTTCAAAAGCTTCCCTTTCTTCCACGTCCATTTTTCGTCCCTTCGAAGGGAGAAGTTTTCGCGACGCTTTTAATACGCGAGACGAAACACGAACAGAGGACACTGGTATTTCGCGTTCTACACCCGCTTGGTCGGCCGATGAACAGAGAACGCGTTTCGAAATCCGGAGGAGCGTAGTCTCGCGGCTAATTCGGGTGGTTGGTATCGGGTCGAAAACGCGAGATATTCCGGCCAGACAGCGATACCGGCTTTTTCCAGCCCATTTACAGGCTACACGGCGTTCATTGGCCACCAGATGCGGCTGTGCCGACATGTGGTTCGCTAGCTTGCAATTCGTGCATACGCCGCGCGCGCCTAATGTTAAATGCATATATTACGGGAATACGACAGACTGCCCACGTGCTGTTCAACGATGCTTTAATCTGCCGTTTGCAGCGTGCCCTCGTTGCCAGTGCATCTACTGCGCCACTCTAGCCAACTTTCCGACCGGTTACCGGCAAACTAGACGAGCGCTAATGGAAAATCGTTCCAACGCGTTTCCAACGATTTTCCAACCGGCAATTACGCGAATTTTCGGGGACAAGGTTCGGCGATTCTCGCGACCGGAGCAGTCTCTCTCTAACGAACGCGCGCCTTTTGCCGATTCGCGATACTCGATAAATCTCGATTTGTTATATTCCCAAGGCTATCCCACAGGCACGCCACCTTACGCCTCTTCACCTCGTCCTCTACCTTCTTAGTTCTCACGGTACCGAGCGCTCTTAGAAGACTTACCGAGCGACGTTTCTTCTTTCTCGAGCGAGAAAAGCGAGGACTGTTGGCCGCGCGAGACTCGACTTTGAAAAGTTGGCAGAGAAGGAAAGCGGGGAAGAAGGAGAAACAAGTGTCGACGACTCGCAGGCAGGATTGGTAGGCTGCCAAGCAACCCGTACGTACAACCAGTAACCGCTATCAATCTCGTTTCCGCGCAATCTCCCCTCGTTCCTATCGCTCTTTTTCTCCGCCTCCCCCCTCTCTACATATTTTTCACTGCACTTGCACCCATTTCTTACATCGAACCGCATTCACCGCATTTTACGCAACCGCGAGAGTCGATATCGATCCGCTATCGGAAAAGTTGTCGTACCGGAGGAATTCGCGGAACGAGGGGAATTTTAAATTTGCTTAATTTGCGCGAAAACGTAGCGAGCGCGATGGACGGATGGCGGCAGACGCGTCGTCGAATAGTTTGATAAATTTTTGGAATCGTCGATCTCGATCCCGGTGAGACTCGAACCCTGGGGGGCAATTCCTCGAGAAACGAGAATTTTATCGTCGCTGTCGCCCCAGTCTTATCGGCATAGACGCCTTCTTCGGGTATTTAGCCTCCGGCAAATGCTATTTCAATTAGGAAAAATCTCGGATCGCGTTTCGTTTTAATTAGCTCCCGTGTATTTGCTTCGCGGAAAGGATGAAACTTTGGAATCGTCAAACGACGAATTTCTCAAACGACGTTCCGCCAATTAGAAAGAAGAAACGACGAATCTTTTCGTAATTAGGAAGAATACGGAGAAATTACGAAGGACGCTTTTCAACGACACGCGTGTTTCCCTACTTAAGGCGTAATCATTCTAAACAGCGTCCATTTAATCCCTCTGATATCCAACCTATTTTCCTTTTTCCCTTTGCTCACGGTCCTCCCCCTTCTTGCTGGAATATTTACGCGACGCGGACTTTGCTCGCCTCGAAATGGGAAAGAATTCCTTTCCATGGCTGGTTTTTACCGGTAATCGCTACGAAGTATCATCGCCCGACGTAGAGAACGCTCGGTGTCTCGTGGTCGTATTTTCAGCAACGTGTCATCCGGTTCGCGTTTTACGCGATGCGTTTATTTTCGGAGGGAGCGGAGGGTGGAAAAAGGGGAGAAAAGAGAAGAAAGCCGGGACGAAGCGAGGAATTACAGCGACGCATGCCCACTTCAAAGGAGCCCTCGTTACTTTATTAGCGCGTGCCTGTACCTCGTAGCTCGCGGAAAGAAAGATCGCGGCTTTGAATCTTTGCTCGTGAAACAGTGGATAAGTTCCCGGAACGGTCGCATAAATTTCTTCGCTTTCCACGCGCCGAGAGAATCCACCGATGCTCCAGATCCCTATGGAGGTTTTCTCTACTTTTCCAACCCGATCGGGCAGAATTATCGTCCAACCGAGTTTTCTCCGACTATTCTTTCTCCCGGGAGAATACGTAATCGCTGACTTTCTGATCCAACCCGCGAACGTCCGATGTATCTCTCTATCGTCGTACGATTAATCTTCCCGAGGAGAAATTGAAAAAACGCGAGGAGGAATTTCATCGTGGAACAGGATCGCGAAACACGCGACCAAGTTTTCGCATCGATGCTTACGCTTTCGAGAGGTTTAGAGGCGATCTCGTGCACGGCCAAGTACCCTACAGGCTCGAGTGGACGCGGAGGAAACGAGGATGGAGAAATAGAGGAGCAATCGCGTCTGCTATATTTGCCCGGTGACGTAAGGGGACTTTTGCGATGCGCTCGCTCCCCTTTCGACTTCCTGCTGCCGCTGCTGACGAAAAGGAAAGAGAAAAAGACTATCGGCGCTCACGGTTTCTAACTCGCAAAACTCGAACCAAGTCTACGCGCGCAACGCCGTTACCATCGCCCATCGCGCGTGTTCTCTTCTTTCGCGTTCCTTTGTCGAAGAAGGAACTCGCAGCCGCGAGGCGATGTGCAGAAGCACGAACGATCGGGCGAAATCGATTTTCGAATGGCCTTGAGTGGCGAATATAGCATTCAGACACGAAACGATCAACGACCGAATCAATTAAGTAATTTCATCGATTCGGAAACTATCGGACCGTGAATATATCTGAAAATAAAGTTTGCCAATAGCGGTTTTGCTTAAGCACACCGGGAATAGTTTCCCCACTGTCGGGTCACGCGGTGGTCTTTCGCTAATTTCCTGCAGTAAATGCTATTGTGGAGGCAAACTTCCGCCGATGAATATACCGGCTCCGTAATTGGAGCGCAATGCCGCGACGAAAATCGGATTATAGCCGAAATTTCATCCCATGAATATGACTTGCTCGTTTAAATTTGACATTTCCAATACGACGGGCAGTTTCAATCATTCAGGTGTTCGCCGAACGACCGAGAATACGAAAGTACTCGGATCTTTAATCTGTTTGATAGTACGGAATCGAGTTTAATTCGTCGTCGCAGGTGTCTAAAATTAATCGGATATCGATCGGCTATCGAATAATTGCACGTGTGCGAGGCCGAATCCATCGAAACGAGTATGATTCCGGCTAACAACGGATTACGTGTGCGCGCGCGTGTATACGTCGCGTACGACCACGAGGAGAGAAGAAATTTAACGAGGCCGGGAGAGCTCCGAGTAACCCAGAGAACGGAAAGGAACGACGACAAACGAAGAAAACAGGGATAAAAGGGAAAGAAAATAGCGGAGCAACGGTAACGCTCCTCTCTAGTCCACGGGATTAAGAAGCGTTTGTTTCGGACAAAGCTTCGGAATCCCGGGGTTCGTTCCATCAACATCAGCACCCTCTTCGCTTCGAAGTCAGCACTTCCTTCCTGCCTGCCTGAAATCCCTCCTACGAGCTACGACTCTCTCTCGCTCGCCCCCCGTCCCTTAAAACCAGAGATTCAGCCAGACCAGGCAACGAGTCTTTTGTTTGTGGACCGGTTCTTCTTGGTTCTTCGAATCATTTATTCCCCTTGGCGCGCCTCTCTGCCTACCCAGATATCTTTTCCATCCTTCCCACCACCGCCACCACCACCACCACCACCATCCAGCTTTCTTTGCCCCTCTTCCGCTACGCCCTTAACTTCTCCTTTCCCTTTCGCCTACTCGTCTTTTTCTATACCCTGCCTCTAGACCGCAGTCTCTCTCTCTCTCTCTCTCTCTCTCTCTGTCCCTAGAGAAACGATGCACTTTGAGGCAGCCCTAATTCCATACGGATCTCGCTCTCTCTCTTTCCCCCATCCCTCGCTCTTTCTCTCTTCCTCTCTCTCTCTCTCTATCCTCGACCAGCTTAATCAATGAACCCGATGCGACCCTGTCGGTCGAAAACTTCTTGCTCGACCTTCGAGTGCCTGGCACGATCGTGTGGCCTCGCCACTGTTACGACCCTCGAGAGTCGACCTCGCTATGTACGAGAGAAGGCACACGCATACACACACGGACACGAGATAGATTAGGTCTATCCTCCTGCGCTATTCCTTAGGTCCGCGAGCGATCGGATAACGATAGACGCGGTGGTCGTCTGGTGTTGGTCCAGCTTACCTTTTTCGAGATGCTGCGAAATAGGGCTCTGTATCCTAGGCGTAGTCTGCAGCTGTGCGGCGTTCCCAGGACGTCCTCGGGGTCTCCTTCCAGGTCGCGGCTGAAATAGAAATGAAACGGGTTTATACTTTTGCGAGTTGGCTCGCGGATATCTCGCCTAGTCTAGTCGCTGGAGTAACGCGAAAAATTCGAGTACACGCTTCGGAAATGCTCGATTCGCCGAGACTCCTTTATTACGTCTGTATTTCCCTGCGGATGCATGATCGTCGTAACGTCAGTCTGGCCCCTTTGTTGTCGCTCGTAAAGTCACGCGACGGGACGCGGAGGCTAACTTGGACAGGGTTGCGAATAAACGGGGTGCAGGCGGTCCGCGTCTTTGTTCAACTGGCGCATTTATTACCGTAGATAAACGCGACAGCGTGGACGGTGCTAGAGATAAACGCTGGCACAGCGTTCCATGTACAGGGTGAACCGGATAGAATTGGAATAACCGTCCGAGCGTGGTTGCAAAGGCACCGTGCGATCGTGTCGGAACGTCGAGCATCGACGGATACGCGCGGTTTCGAGGTTATCGTGGCGTGTTTGTCGAACGAACGGGAATGTCGGAGGAAACGGATACAGGAGCGATTTCGCTGGATGAAAACACAGCGGGCAACGGAGCGTCGCGGCGGTGTAAACAGGCCACCAGGTACGCAGCGAGCTACGCGAAGAAGGAAACGAGAAAGAAGGCGGGACGTAGGCGAATTTACGAGCGTGGAAAGGATACGCGGTTGGATTATCGGTCGGTGAATATTCTCCGGGAACAAGCTTCTCCAACGGGGGAAAGAGGCAGACCGCATCGAGAGAAATTAAAAGCCGGTATGGCTCGTGAATATACGAAAAGGCGATCGGGAATTGCCGCCGAAGAGATTTCTCCGATAAGGCAGTTTGAAGCACGCTACGATCCAACTCGAATTTCGTGCCACCACGAACGCGTATTCGCGTTCCATGGGACGAGAGAGAAAGATTATCCATCGATACGAAGGTATTACTTTGCTTAAATATCGCGCGAGACTCGCGGTTAGGGCCAAACGCGAGTACCGCGTGCGAGAGACGTGGTTTGTACGACCAGGACCCGAACGAGTAAACGAGACTGATCTGACCCGTGGTTGATTTTCGCGAATGTGATGGCGCGACTGAGACGTCGGAGCTTAAAATCGTAAGGTAAGGTAAGGTAATGCTATTTCTCGTTGGAAAAAGCGGTGAAAAAAAATGGCGGAACAGGTCGCGACCTCCTCTAGTCGGAGTGCCAGAAAAGAAGACTCCAGCCTGTTTTATTGTGAATCGAGGTTAAAGTCTCTGGCACGGGACCAGGCATTTCACCTAGGCCGTCGCATTCCGGCGGATGCACATGGCCACGCACATTATGTGGCCCTTATGTAGTCCCGTATATGCCTTCCTCGCATACCACGACCACTTCCCCTTGTGTAGCCGCGGCCGCTGATGTACGACTCGTGTACACACAGGCAAGCATTAAAAGGGGAGGCGGTCGTCTACACGGGGGAAGCTCATGAAATAAATAGTTTGCGCCGTCGCTCCGGGCTTTGTGTCGTACTCGCTGCGCCAGTGGCGTAGGTTGCCTCCGATATCCGCACCGAGAATGCGGAATAAGTGGGCCGCCCAAGGAATCCCGGACGACGAAATTATTAATGTCTCGTCGCGACCAGGCTCGTTAGCGATACGCGCGTGTATACGCGCTCGCGATCCGTGGATCGTATCGATCCGCTCGTTACTCGCACGCGAGATCTCTGATCGATTAGCGGGACGAGAGGCAACGATACGGAGCTGGGAGAATTCGTCGGTGAACGAGCTACCGGTTTGCCACGATGATTTATTACGGGTTTTTTTAACGCGCGACATTCGTGCGTTTAACTCGATCGCGATTCCCCGCGACGAGGATAAAAATCGCGACAGCGTAAATACAGCGTGGACGCGAGGGCACGGAAAGTTACGCGAGGCCTCGCGCGTCGAAATCGCTCGTAAACAAGCGGCTGCAAAGCGTGCGAAAGAGAGAAGAACCACGGTGTTATTCGTCGGCACGCATAGATCACCGATAACGATAAACGTAGAGAGCGATGGCGGAAAGCGTGGCGCGACTGTTTGCAACGGACTCGCGTAATGGTCGAAGGATACGCACAGTCTACCAGGCAAAGCGTTACGGTCGCTCACGGATGATCCCATAATGCCATTAACGCACCGTCCAACCTCCGTCGCTACTACCAGTGATATCGTCGCCGCAGGCGGATATAGGCGGATAGCACCTTTTTCCGGCATATGCTAATCTAATTAATGGCTACACGGAAAGTCGAAGCAGTGTGCGCGACGATCGGGTGTGAATGCGTGTGCGTACAAGGGGACAGTCTGGCGTTGCTTAAGTGGTTACCTATGTAACTGGAAAAGATCAGCGCGCAAATGTGCACTGGCGTAGCCGACAGCGGGATAGACCGGGTGGTGTCTGGTTAGTTAACGAGTACCACGGATCACCTTCGATAACGCAACGGCTGAAATCTAAGAGATTCCGCGGAATTTCGCGAGAAAGTCGTGACGAGACTCTCCTTCTACCGGACCATTCAAACCGGAAAAACGATTAAACGTTCACGCCGCATTTTCCGCCGTTTCGCGATACGCAAAGGCGATAGGCAAACTTTTGATCGATATAACGTATGCCGACACGAAGGGTGGCGCGATAAAGCTGGCCAGCTCACTTGTTTACCGATTTTTACCGCCTACCATCGTGGCCAACCGGTTCTCGGGATACCGGTTGCTCTTTCCTGCCTGTAAACTGGTCCACCCATGCTCTCGATCCCCTTCCTTCGGGTATCCTCGCCATTTTACCCTACCCAGAAATCTCCACGAATTTCTTCCTCGCTCTTTTCCTTCCTTTTTCTCGCCTTTCCCCGCCGTCCACGCGTTCCCCGATTCCTCTCCGTGCAATTTCGAATCCGCGATCGATCTATTCGACAACTTTGTCGCTGCAAATTTCGATCGCGTTCCGATAGGGGGGAATCGTCGAGACGCGAATATATCCTCGCGAAAGAAGCATCGCCGATGGAATCTGTTGGTTCTCGAAACAATGGTAGGAAATATGAAAGACGATTCCCATTGAAGAAAGCATTATGCGATCGTGATCGAATTCGCGTAAATGGCGTATCGTTTACGCGACTGTGACATGCGACAGCAGCCACTGTAAGAGAGATACGGTCGACGTGACTCGTTTTATCTATGCGCATACTTGACTCACATACAAGTCAAGTATCTCGGCGAGGTATTGACAGTCAGCAGGGATCCGTCTGTTCGGTTCGCGTACCTTGACGCGCGATAAGTGACAACGACTGATAACAGTCGCGTATTCACGCCCATTAGCACACAGCTATTCGAGGCTGGCTTGCTGGAATCGTGGAAAATTCGCTTTCCTCCGAGCATTACGAACGAACGAATAACGCGCCGATCTCGCGTCCATCTACAGTCGTTTCACCGTTAATAAGCTTCCCCGAGCTTCTCGCCAATTCGACTACCCAGGCGAATTTTCCGCTCGTGAATAATTTTCGGGTAAGTCAGTGTCTGAAGGAGGGATCCGAGAACACGAGCGTCAGACAGGCAATAACGGTCGATTAAATATGACCGAACACGGCTCTATTCGTGGCTGAACGAGTCGAACCGCGTGATTCGAACAGACGACAAACACGGATCGCGTTCGGCGTAGTCGGCAGAAAAATAACCGAGGACCTATTAACGGGAGTGCCTCGTTGAAAAATTCAAAGGAACACGTACGTTAAGAAATAACGGAAGAATAATATTTTAATTCCCACTTAAGAGTCGTCTTCGAAGGAAATTTGATCAAGCCGTTGATAAATTCGTTAGACTTTCGACGCTACTTTTGGACAGGACTCGAAATCGTTACGGTACGATCGATTCGTACCGATTATCGTTGACTCGGGTTGTACGCGTTGCAAATAAGCAGCGAATCCCCGCGAAAGGAAGAAAGGAGGAAGAAAGATGATGGGGAAAAAGGGAAATCGAAGGAAAAATAAAGGGAGAAGGGGAGAGAGAGAGAGAGAGAGAGAGAGAGAGAGAGAGAAAAGAAAGAAAAACTAATCCAGCAAGTGCTGGCGAAAAAGTTTCGTTTCCGTGCTTCTTTGAAAAGTGGCGGCGCGGTTAAATCGAGCCACCCTGTATACGCATTCATGCATAGTACACGCGTTCCCGTCGTTCACAAAGAGTCGCAGACGCGTTTATGTAGACATTCGTACATATGTACGTACGTATGCGCGCGGCGCTCGTCGCTCGTCTCTCGGCACATGGCCGATGTTCTATATATAAGCGCGTTTCTATGTAAGCGGTGTGTGTAACGCCAACGGACCGGCAGATATTCCGATCGATCGTACCGGGTTATCCGACTGCCAACGAGAATTCATTTTCCCTTCCATTCGTCTCTCTTTCTCTCCGAGCTCTCGACTCCCTCCTTCTCCCTCGCTCCCTCGTGCACTCCCTCGTGCACTCGTTCGTGCACCCATACACCCACCCTTTTCGCTCCTTCCATCGCCCTCTTTCGCCGTCTCGCTTTTCTCCCTTCTCTCGCCGCATCGCCCCCTTTCTCTCTCCTCCCTCTCTTTCACTCTCTTTCCTGCACGCGCGTATATAAAGGACCTCCGCACTAGCGTACACTACCGTTCAAAAGTTTCGACGCGCGTGTCAATAAGGAAACTTGTTCCTCGATTTTTCCACCCTCTCTGGCATTCGAAAGATCGATGCTTTTTCTCCGCGCGTACACCTATGTATCAATTAAACTCTTCGTTGCCACGCGGCTCCGTCCGTGTTTACGGACGCTCTCGTTACCACGCTTTTACGTAACTCGTTCGATCCGTGTGTATTCCGTTATTTGTCTCGTAAATTATACGCCATTTTCAACGCCCCGTTTTTCATTCCATCCGTTCTTCCTGCCTTCTTTTCTTTTCTCCTTTTCCTTCCATCGTCACGGTTTAATTCGATTATCGCGAATAACGGATGGTACGAGCGAACAGCGAATATGCCTGGAAACTCCGCGGCGTTTACGCAATTCTC